CAACCTGAGGGGCTCATTTTCCAGCCCTATGTCTGACAGTGTTTCTCTGCTATTCATAATGTTTTCAGTGACAAAAATTTATAAGTAGTTCATCACTCCTTCTTCCTAGTCTGTCTTCATCTGGAATCTCATCTGAAACCTGTCCACCATGAGTGACCCTGCTGGTATTTACAATACTGGTGGCATAGCTTTCAGAATGACAGCAACTCAACAAGCCACCACAGTATGACACACTGACAGATGAGTGGTGGGTGACAGGTTTAGTAGTAATATAATCCAACAGTTATTTAATGATGCACTTTGCAACTTATATAATGATTTAGTTATTTTATATACATTTTGTGATCCCATGTGATCATTCTCTGTTGTCGCAGAGTTCTGATTTTCAAATAATGACCTGGAACTGTGGATCTATTTCTTGAGAGTCTTTTTACTATTCACTTTTTTCTTTTAAAGTAAATGATACCTAGTTCTCTGCTTTTGGCCATTTATGTGTAACTTTTTTGCATCAGTGCTTCCTGTCTCTCTATAAAAGTTCAAATAAAGGCAAACAAGTAAAACATTCAAGTGATATTTTAATTTAGCAATAATTCACTGTGGTTTGGGTAAAAGAAGTTAAAAATGATGGCACAAACTAGATTTCTAAGAGGTTTCTGAAACTAAAATTCTTCAAAGCAAAACTTCATTGTGCACTGGAACACAAATGTAGCACCTCATTCAAAAAGTCATAAAGTACAGAGCACACAGGAACTTTTCTGGCCTCTAAACTAGAGGTCTTTATTTAACTCAAAGGGCTCTAAATCAAGCAATATGAGTGGTTGTTGGCCATTCAGTCCTGTCAGGTTTAAACTCCAGGAAATGGCAAAAGACATACAACTTAGGATCTTTAATTTTCTAAGTTAGCATGATTTCTATTTAACTTATTTTGCTTTTAAGTAAATTTGACTTTGTTAATCTTCATTTTGACACCTACAGTGCCAAATTTTATTATTATCGTCGTGTTCATGTATCACTTTCAATTAATTCTCTTATTTATAAAAATCATCAGGAATTTTTATGTTCTCCAAATGATAGGCTTTTCTAAAGTTCAAATATCAGCCCTTTTTTTCTATACCCCTGATCGTTCTGTTGCCTTACCTTGTAGATCTTTTCCATTCTTATAATCTCAGATCTCATACGTTTGCACATAACCTGAAGTCTGAATTAATTTCTCTTGTCCCCAAACCACATACTCAACTGCTAGCTAAATATTTCCTTTCAGATATTCTGTCAGTACCATAGAAAATTTTAACTCTGGTTTGAACGTATTAATAAAAGGGACAAAAAGCACATTATTTTAATATTTTGTTCTTATAAAGTAATTTCCCCTAATAAATTATTTTGTATAAACCCCTATGAGTTTTTTAATGAAGATTTTGTAAGTTTTTTCATGTAAAATATTATAAAATATTGGTCTGCTCATATTTAATAATAGTTTTTCATATTTGTACTGCCAAAAGTATGTATTTTGACTTTTGTCTTTATCTTCTCATGCTTTCTTTTCTCCTCACCATCACAAGCACACAGATGTTTCAGTGGTATAATTTACGTGACCCTGGGGCTTTCATTATTATTTTTTGTTGGTTCAGTTTGTGTTTATGGGGTAAAAGATTAATCCTGTGTTACTCTTTTCTCTGTAGGTCTCTGTGCTTTGCGAAGAGTACTAAAGAAACATCCTAACTTCCCTGATAGCAAGGTGGCTGGATTGGTGAAAGTTACTTTGAATGATTTTTTGAAGGGGATGAATGACATCAGACCCAGTGCCATGAGAGAGGTAGCAATTGATGTCCCAAAAGTAAGTCATTTTAGCTACACTACTTGAATTCATTTTTGAAAGAAACTCAGACTGCAGGGAGATTGCCTACGTAGTGTAAATTAAAAAAAAATTTTAAACTGGAATTTTATTGAAATTTTTGCAAATTCACAAGCAGTTGTGAGAAGTAATACAGGAAAATGTTGTGGATGTCTTTTACCCATTTTCCCCTAATGTTACTATTTTGTAAAAATATTGTCGTTGATATAATCCACCAATCTTCCTCAGATTTTCTGTTCTATTTAGACTCATTTCTATGTGTCTGTGTATATTTAGAAGTCCCTGGCTGGAGCAATTGGTTAAACACTCAAGTACTAACTGAATGGTTAGTAATTTAAACCAACCAGAGGCAACTCAGAGCCTCGTGGCACAATGCATAAAGCACCCAGCAGCTACCTGAAAGGTCGGAAGTTCAAATCCAATTCTCTTTCCAAAGGAGTTTCAGTAATGATTTACAGCCTTAGAAACCATATAGGGCAGTTCGACTTTGATCATAAGATTTCTGTGAGTCTGAATGGACTCAACAGTAATGGATTTTGGTTTGTTTGGATAGAGGCATATCAGAAGGATTGATGATCTACTTCTGAAAGGTCTTGTCCTTGAAAGTTTTTGGAATGCAGTTTTACTCTACAGCACTTGTGGTTGCTGTGAATTGGTATCAAGTTGACAAAATCTGGTTTGTTGGTTTTTTATTATTGATGTATATGTAGCTCTACACAATTTTACCACAGGTAGATTTGTATATTCATTACCACAGTCAAGGCAATGAACATTTCAATCTTAAAAGTATCTGTCATGCTGCTCTTTTTGTAGCCACCATCACCTTGCTTCTATTTCTAAAATGCTGTTGCTTAAAAAAATGTTATATAAATAGAATTATTCATTATGTAACCTTTTAATATTAGCTTATTTCATTCAGTATAATTCCCTGGAGAGTCTTCCAAGTTGTTGTGTGAACCAATAGATTGTTATTTTCGTTGCTGAGTAGTATTCCATTGTATTATGCATCATGGTATTTTGGCCATTAACTTGTTTAAGGCCATCTGAACTGTTTTTAGCTTTTGGTTATATGAGTAAAATTGCTATAAACATTTGTGCATGGGCAATTGCATAAATAAAAGTTTTCATTTTTCTTGGATAAATGCCCAAGAGTACAGTTGCTTAGTCATATACTAATTGCATGTTTAATTTTATAAGAAGATACCAACTAGGCTAATTTTGGAACAATAACAAAACATTTTTTTAGTTATAAATCAATATTTATAATGCTTCCTGACCTATTACATATATCTCATCTTTAATAGTTCTTGCACAATTCTCAGTTACATCCACTACCAGCACAACAGAAGCTATCTTTTATGCTTGGGTCATGTTTCATCGTCTATAACCTAAGTAATCTCTAAAACTTGCTCAAATAAAGTCTCTAAAAGACATTGAGGAAATAAAAATGACTTAATGGTTTTCTGGAAAAATTATTATTTCTAGAAAATGAACATTAAAATAAAACATGACAATGTCATGTAATTTATTGAGGTTGGGGTGGGGGCAGTGACCATTACACTTGATGTGGTCAAAAAGAAGACTGTCTTGGTATGGTTTGGGGAAAAAGTGTATGATGCCATATTAGACCCCTGATCAGAAAAACCACTTAGCCCTCAAAATTCTGAGAAATAATTATTTTATTGTTAATATAAAATAGTTTTAAGCCATTATATATTGAGATGTTTAATTACCAAAATCTAAGTGATCCAGACATTTCTTAGCTTCCTACAGAGCTCAATTGTTTTGCAAATTTATGCTGAAATTTAGGAATATTTCGTGGGCTAGCTGCTGGTTTAAACTACTTAATGTTTTTTTAACTATTTTTGAAACATTTTCAAATTGACTATTGAACTTAAAACTTTGGGTGTTTTCAAAAGCTTTGTAGTAGAATATGCCAGTTGAATGTAAAGAGTTTGACAAATGGAATTACAGACTACTGAATGATTAATGCTGGGCAAGTGGAAACTCATGAGGTAGTTTGTAGTCTGAACTTTGGGTATATTGGTATAAATGCATTTATTTGTTTCGTTTATTTATTTTATCATGGGTCAGGTTGGTGTCTTTAAAAAATGACCACCAAACTGTCTTTCCCACAGCACTCTACTTCTAATCTGTGGTGTTCCATGATTCACTACAGTGGTCGCACAGAACTCAGACACCATACTCACAGTTATGGGGTTTATTAAGGGAGTTATTTAGGATCAGAAATGCCCATTAAGGACAACCTCTCCTCTACTGTGCCCACAGACCAGCCTTTCTGATACTTGGCTCTTTGACTTGACCTATGCCTGGCTCAAGCAATATTATTACAAAGAGATCACATGAAGATTAAGATGTACTTGACATTAGCCATAGTATTTTCAATAGCCTCATCTGCATGTGAAAGTTGGACAATGAATAAATAAGAAGAATCTATACATATGAATTATGCTGTTGGTGAAGAATATTGAAAGTACTATGGACCACTAGAAGAACAATCAAATCTGACTTTGAAGATATATTTTTTTCTGTTGTGTATAGGTTCTGAACAGATGCCTAACAACAAGAGTTGAAGACCAGTTATAACAGCCCAAATCACTTTAATGTCTAAAAAAATTGAGAAACTAAAAACTAAAGGAACATACACTAAAAATTTAAACTTCAAGTTACTACAAATGGAGTACGTGTTTAAATAGTGTCTGTCCACTTTGGAATTTCTAAAGTGATCATTCATCACACAAACTGGTACTACAACTATATTATTAATTGCTTTAATGGAAGGTTTTCCCCTTTATTTTCTTTTGATACAGTATTTACAATCCATGGACTTGTGCCATTTTCCATTTGGAACTTTATTATTTGGCCTAAGGCCATGGTGTACTGTAATGTTACTCATGAGCTCTGGATTAGAACTGGTGGAAGTACTTTCTTGTTTTGCTTTTATCCTCATTTCAGATTGTAAAAATTTTTGTGCATTTCTATAATTGGATTCTTACACTTAGCTTTCTGAACTCTGACAATTACATTTACAAAATAGTAGTATCTGTAAATTATGTAGAAGATTTAATCCATTCTTTGCTATAGAAAACCTTTCTAAAGCAGGTATTTAATTGTGATAATTTTTTATAGTAAATTGGACATTTGACATTTTTTGAAAATAAATTTTGGTGTGTGAAATTAAAACTACTAAATCACACTTTCCTAGTTATACTTCAGTTTGAAAGAAATGTCATAAATAGAAATGTTACTAATTGTAATTTACTTTTTGGTATTGACCATAATGCATTATTAATTTTAATTTCTGGATAATACATGTGTCAGCTGTTTATTTAGATATTTTTGCTCATTTTTCCCCCCTGGACATTCTGAATTGGTGTTATGATGACATTGTATTTCTTTACTACAGAAATCTATATAATCTTTGAATATACTAATATACATTGTAAAGTTATAGTTTTCTACCCAGATATTGATAATTGTTAGCATTTTGTTATAATACCTGCAGGATTATTTTTCTGAGTGTACATATATTGTTGTTGTTAGGTGCTGTCAAGTTGGTTCTGACTCATAGCAACCGTATGTATAAGAGAACAAAACACTGGCTACTCCTGTACCGTCCTCACAATTGTTACTAAGTTTGAGGCCATTTTTGCAGCAACTGTGTCAGTCCATCTCTTTGAGTGTTTAGTCTTTTACTTTATCAAGCATGAGTTTCTTCTCCATGCACTGGTCTCTCTTGCCAGAGTACTTGAGGAGAAATCTCTGCATCCTTGCTTCTAAGGAGTTCTACTGCTTCCAAGACAGAGTTGTTCTTCTGGCAGTCATGGTATATTTACTATTCCTTGCCAGCACTATAATTCAAAGGCATTATTAATTCTTTGATCTTCCGTAATTTTTATATACCTTCCACATACATAAAAACATAGGAGGCAATTGAAAATGTTCATATGTTGTTAGGTGCCATTGAGTTGGTCCCAACTCATAGCAACCCTGTGAATAACAGTAGGAAATGCTCTCCTGTTCTGTGCCATCCTTGCAATTGTTATGCTTGTGCCCATTGTTGCTGCCACAGTGTCAGTCCATATTATTGGGACTGACCCTCCACTGTATCTAGCATGATGTCTTGCTTCAGGGACTGATCCTTCCTTAAGATAAGTCTTGCCATCCTCATTTCTAAGGCGTATGCTAGGTGCACTTCTTCCAAGACACTTGTTGATTGTTCTGCAAGGCCATGGTACTTTTCATATTCTTTCCCAGTACCATAATTCAAATGCATTGATTCTTCTACTGTTTCCTTATTATTCATTGGTTAAAAACTATCACATGCATATGATGTGATTGAAAATACCATTGCTTGGGTCAGTCACACACCTTACGCCTCAAACTTTGTTCTTTAAAAAGTTTTAAAGACATCTTTGCTCTTTAACACTTTAAAGAAGTCTTTTGCAACATATTTGTCTAATGAATTATGTCATTTGATTTCTTTTTTTTAAGTTTTTTATTGTGAATTGAGTGATAGTTTACATGGGAGAACATCGGTTTTACACTCATTATTTCATTGCAGTGATTACAGTTTCCTCTGTGTATCATCAGTCAACAATATTTTTTATTCTAGTCAACTGTTGTTTTTTTTCGGTGTGTGTGGGGTGTGTTCATAAAAACAGTTAGGAATATATAATCATTTGAAACAACTAAAGGGCACATTCTGCAAACCTGCCTCCTGGCCGCCACTATACAGCATTTCTGTTTCCATGAGTCTAGAGTCCTCAGCTATTCTGTCTCTCCATGTCCTCATCTCTTCCTCCAGCTCTGTTGTTGCTGCTTCTCAGGTTAGGGTACCACATTCTGCTCATGCTCTTTTCCATTGGTGGTCCTAGGGTCCTCTGTTCCTGGACTGTTAAGATTAACTACTCCCCCCTTTTTGTTACAAAACTTCTACCTTTACAGTTGTGATAGTCACT